CAGGGCACCTTGGACGACAGGCCTGACAATCTGCTTTGGAAGTCACAGCCTGAAAACCTGAAGAAGCAGTTCTGCCCTGACGTCCATGGGCGCCACGAGTCAGAGTCGACAACTAACAACCTCCCATCACTTGCTGTGAAGTAGGCGCCAGGCCCTGCCAATCTCAGCTCTTCAGTGCTCAACACCTCGCACACCGATGACTCATGATGCCTTAACAAGACATACTTCCTCCGGTCTCCTCTCTCCAGAAGGTTTCTCCGCAGAACGCAGAGTCGTTTGCCCAGATGGAAATCTGCCCACTTCCATGAATTTGAGCCCCAGTGGCTCTGCACTGCATTCCATATAAAGTCAGAGGGCCCCCCCAGCCGCAGAAGCCCCCAGGGTCTGCCCTGCACACCCCCACTGCCACCCCCTCCACTGTGGCCCACGGAGCTGCCTCCTGCCCCAGCCTCCACCTGCCACAAAGCCTGTCCCTCTCCTCGGCCCCCTTGCAGGCTGGCTCATCCTTTGTCTCACCCCCCAGGACACTCCACGACTGTTAATGCTCAGAGTGCACCAGGTGCACCCTAACATTGCTCCAGCCCCCCGACTCGTGGCAGCTGCGTACACACTGTCTCCCTGAGGGCTGGTGAGCTCAGGGGCAGGGATGCCAGCAGGATTCCCTGACCAGAATGTAGGAAGACACAGCTACAGCATTAGAAGGAACCCAGAGGCGCTGGGGTGAAGCGCCTGGCTGCAGTTCAAACCCCCCGCTGCTCCTTGGGGCTCCACCTGGCAATCTGCTCCCTGACGGATGACAGCCTAGGCAACCCTGGGGGGCACGTCTACTCGGTCACCTGGGGTTGCCATGAGTTTCCATGACAACGGGCTTGGGTTAGGGTTTTATAGGAAGATCAGAAGGCACTTGACTGCTAACCAGAAGGCTAGTGGTTCAAACCCAGCAGCCACTCCACAGAAGGAAGGCTGGGCAATCTACTTCTGTAGTGATACCGCCTCGGAAACCCAAGGAGGGTCGCTGTGAGCCAGACCAACTCAACAGCAGTGAGTTCGGTGTTTTGTTTTTTTTTTTTTTTTGAAAATACAAGGTCTCTGCATCAAGAGATTCAAGAAAGTTGACAAGGAAGGTTTTCTGATGTTAACTGTAACATTAGACATGTGGCCTCCCCATGGCTGCCAGAGGGGAGTCTGAAGTCAATTCTATCATATTAGAATCCAGTGCAGAAGCTAACAGGGAAATCCAGAGACATGTGTATGAGGTGGATTAGAGGCGGCTGAGACAAGCTCAAACAGGGCCACTGCAGGAGACCCTCTGGCGGACTTGACATTGACCAGTGGCACTTGCTGGCCTTTCCCCAGCTCACTCAGCTTTGGACGGCCCTTGTGCCAGAAGCCGTGACCTTTACCTCAGCCCCCCGGCTGGTGCACCTGCTCCCTGTATGTCCCCTGCCCCTAGTCGGGCAGACTCAGGACAGGGAACACACCTCGTCCGGCCTGGCATCCAGCACCTCCTCGCACAGTGTTAGTGCACAGTGGACCCCGTGTTTATGGAAAGAATCAGTGAAAGAAAAATGAACGAATAAATGAACTGTGGAAGTAGATCATCCAATCTTCCTTCTGAGGAGTGCGCTGGTAGGTTTAAACTGCCAGCCTTCTGGTGAGCAGTCAAATGTCTTAGATACTACGCTACCAGAGCTCCCATTAAAAGGGTAGTAGCTGTAAAATGGGGAGCTCTGGTGGCGTGGTGCCTAAGACACTTGACTGCTAACCAGAAGACTGGCGGTTCAAAGCCACCAGCCACTCCTCGGAAGGAAGGTTGGGCAATCTACTTCCATAGTGATCCTGCCTCAGAAACCCAAGGAGGGGTTGCTATGAGTCCGGTCCAACTTGACGGCACAGAACAACGACAACAATAGCTGTAAAATGAGGAAGAAAATAACCTTACAGACATTGTGAGCAAACCTGACAGGACTTGGGATATGAGAGAAAAAGGGCAGGGGTCAGACCTGAGGGCTGCGGGTGGGCGAGCAGCCCATTATGAGAAGGGTCAGGGGTCAGGGCCAACAGGAAGGGGAGCTAGGTGGCTCCAAACAGGAGGGGTAACACTGCAAATTAAGGCATGTGTCAGACCTTCACGTCGGCCAGTCTTCCCTCCTTCTGCCAGTCCCATACGGAGAGCACGTGGTCGTTGGAGTCATCCACAGCACACAGGTTGGCTCCTCCATTCTGGAAAAGAAAGGAGTTCGCAGAGAAACTACCTTTGAGAATAAAATGGCTTGAACATGACTAAAAACAAACATTAATTTCACTTGTACTTAAGAGCCTCTGCATTTTGGTTCGGAGCTCTGGTAGCGTAGTGCCTAAGGCACTTGACTGCTAACCAGAAGGCTGGCAGTTCAAACCTACCAGCCACTCCTCGGAAGGAAGGTTGGGCAATCCTACTTCCGTAGTGACACTGCCTTGGAAACCCAAGGAGGGGTCGTTACGAGTCAGGTCTGACTCAATAGCATAAAACAACATCTTGGTTAACACTGCCTTTGAGGCCTGCTTACTTGTCCAGACAGGGAGAGTAGGTGAGTGAGGTGACGGGGGTGATGAATGGACAGGAGCAAGGGACAGAGGTGTCAAAGGGCCGCTCCTGCCACCTGGTTTCCTTACACCAGCCTCAAAGGGGGCTGCGGGGACAGCGGCCTGCAGCACGCACAGTGTGAGTCTGTCTGTCCCCGGGGCCAGGGACACCTGACGGCAGAAGTTGCAGGCACGGGGGCACAGACACATGTAGGCATTTAGTGTGTGAACTTGCATGCATGTGAACGTGGATTTCCAACGGCTGCAGAAGTGCTTGGGCAGCTCCATGGGCCAGCATGTCCTGCACGAGCACAGGAAGGCCTGACCCTGTGCGGCCCCCACAGCCGGCCAGCAGTGAGCTGGCCAGGCAGGGGATGCAGGGAGCTCGGGGACCACTTGATGAGAGGAGCAGGTCAAAGTCAAGGCCAGAGCAGCAAAACTGTGTTAGGAAAAGGGTGACAGTGGCCTGGGAGGGCCTCTTTCTGGTAACACTGATTTAGAGGGTGTAACCCCAAGGGAACGTGTGTGCAAGTATGTGGATGACACCCTGAACGGGGGCCTAGGGAGCAGGAACCTCCCAGCGTTCCCATCCACATACCCCTGGGCAGGTACTGAGTGCATTAGCCCTGTCCCTCTCCCGCCCTGCCTGGTCTTCTCTCCCTGTGGTCAGAGAGGGCAACACACACAGGGCTCCCACTTACAGATTTTGAGAACGCGATACAGGTGACAGCTCGGTCAAAAAACCCGATTCCAATGACATGCAGAGTGTTCAACGTCACAGAATCCCAGATGCGCACGTGTGGGGGCAGTTGCTGTTTCAAAACAAACACTGCCATCAGCTGCCACGATCGCACAAATCCATCTTTCCCTTGAAGCTGAAACAATGACCTGAGCATAACTTCACTGTTGTCAAAACACAAGTCTTGTCCTGCATTTGACGGCTCTGTCCTTCCATGTATGTAAAACGCTCCCATGGGCTTCACGAGGTTATGCTCATGTGGCTAGTCTGACTTGAGGACTGGTCTCCAAGCCTTACATTCCGAACAGCCAACCCCCATCACTGTACTGCTATCCTAATTTGTACATCTTCAGACGTCCGTCCAAAGGAAAAATGACAAGGAAAACAGAATCTCATTACAGGTTATTCTCCTGAAGCTGGTATGTTGCTGGTATGTTGCTAAGCTCATTGAGATGGTCACCACCCAACAGTATTAAGAGTTAGTGTTCTTGGGCCCCATGAAAGCAAAGCAGGCAACCAAACACAGTCAATCACAATTTAGAGTTGTTACAGTTGGTTCAAAATCCTCTCACTTGTGGTCCTAGGTTATTTATATTAATATTTCTCTAAAACGTGCATTTTTAATATTGATTACTCAATCCCCAGGCAAAGACAGCACATAAAGCAAGCAGCAGGTTTAACCGAGGGCCGAGTGCTGCCCCTGGTGGGCAGACGTGGTCAGGGGAGCTGGGCTCCAGTGTGGAGTAGTCGCTAAGCAGCTGGGGTTCTGCAGAAGTTACCCGGCCTCTCAGGACCACAGTGCTCTTCTATGTGAAGTGCGGGGACTAGCTCAACAGCTGTAATGTCTTCCCAAGTGGTTCAATTTTAAAGCCAGAAGGTGAAACACACTCTCACGCCACTAGACGGAGAACAAATGATTCCCTCCAACCTCAGAATTTTCAGTCTTTTTTATCTTTTTTAAATTCTGGTAAATGCACACACACACATACGTATACATCTGCACACATATATACATATATGTAATTCAAAGAACTTGCTAAGGCTATTTGGCATGAAAGAAACAAGATATAAAGACTACTGCGTTAATGTGTATTTACATAACGGTAATCTGACTTCCTTTGTTTCTGGTACCTCTTTTCAAGTATAGAATTGTAATGAGAAAGCACACAATTAGTATTCAAAATCTAATGTTATTAAAATATTTTATTAAATATGGTAGCCTCCATGCTGTAAAGAAAACATGAGGTTTGTAACAATGTGCAAAATGTAAAATACTGTGGGCAGGAACATGGTATGCAAAGTAGTTGGCAAAAGCTACAAGGAGCTGTGGGTAAGACATGACAAACATATCCAACTGTGGGTAACAAGCAGGAGGGTGGGTAGCATAGTGATTAAGTGCTCAGCGGCTGACCAAGAGGTCAGTGGTTCAAACCCACCAGCCATCCTGTGGGAAAAAGACTTGGCTACCTGCTTCCACCAAGATCACAGCCTTGGAAACCCCACGGGCCTTTCTCTTCTGTCCCATAGAGCTGACAGGAGTTGGAATTGACTCGACAGAAACGGGTTTGAGTTTGTTTGTTTGTTTGGTGGAAAATGAGTAAGTAGAAATCAGTTTTCAATTGTTCTTAGACTAGTTATTCACTAAAGTCCACTAGTTCCCTCTCTGGTGCTTCAACTAGAAATCAAAGCCCTGAGGAATGCTGAAAATGGCCTAGCAGCTTCCACAACCGTGCGCAGACGCACACACAGAGCGGAGGGCTGGCGACAGGCGCTCGTGGCGAAGCGTGCAAAAAGGCAACGGTCTCACATGCTGGTACTGATCCAATGCGATCCTTGAGATCCTGAAGTTTGTTACGGACGTACATCAGTGCTTCAAGGACTAGTAAACCCTCAGGCAAGAACAACGCCATGGACAATTTTACTGAAAGTAATGTGAGCTCAAGCTGCTTCTAAGATCACTGTAAGAGTTTTTAATTTTCAATTAAAAAACTTCACGTGGGATTAAGGATGCAGATACTGTAATTCATCTAAGCAGGGCTATTAACCAGCAGAATAATACGTGCAGAAAATGCCTGTGTGGTACCAGTTCATAAAAAAATAGGAAAAAACGATACAACTCACTTTTCCATCCTTAGATGTACCTGCGACTTGTCCTGTTGCTATGGTGATCCTATCAGGATGAACAGCGAGGCTAAAAAAAAGACAATTTATTAAAAAAACCCTCCATTTTAGGTAAGTTTTCCTTTCCCTTTGATCAAACACAATCTAGTCACACATTTAAGTAACTTCTCACAGGTTCAAAATAAAGTCTCTTAGACCCCAGTGACTTTAGACAACTGAGGAATCTTTCATTTAATCTTATTTCTTCTCCAGAATTTTGAAACTTCAGAAAAAGCATCCTTTGCCGAGGAAATAATATTTCAATCTCCAAACCAGCAAATTAGCTGACAACCTTTGTTAACGAGTCAGTCTACATATAGTGGACAATAAGACATAATCTTTTGCCTACAGGATGGATTCCTGGAACTGACCAGGGACTTAGGACAAATACAAACCCATGAACCTCTCTGATCACTACCCACCCTTCCAAGAGTTGCTTGGTCTCTGTGAGCTCTGCACGAACTCAGGACCAGCAGACCAGCAGAAACACAAAACGCTTTTACTTATGAAATAAAGGCCCAACTTCGAAGCCTTTAGCCTGCGATATGTTGCTAGAGGGCTCCAACGCAGACAGTTACAGTTGTGTTTTGAGGACAGAAAAGCAAACCTGGAAGTGGGGCCAGCAACGTGTTACTGTCCAGGAGCCCGTGTTGTTTGCCAGCCAGGATTCCTGGGAGCTACCGATAGTTACGTGCTGGCCCACCAGCTCAAAGGCTGGAGGTTCAAACCCACCCAAAGCCAGCTTAGAACAAAGGCCTGATGGTGTGCTCTCAGAAGGCCACAGCCATGAAAACCTGACACGTGAGGTCCCCGCCAGGAGGTGGGTTCACTCGACAGCAATGAGCTTTGTTGTTGTTGTAGTTTAGCCAGGTAGCTAGTAGACAGCACAGGAAACAGAGCGGAGGCCACCCCAGAGAACCACCTTCCTCTGGTCGTGCTCCTTCTCTTCACCAGTATCCCCACGCCACCTTCTTTCCGCGACTGGCCCACCCCCCCTGGCTGGGGCGCACTCACCACTTGACGTCATCGCTGTGGCCAGTGTAATGCCGCTGCAGCTGCTCCTCCACGTTGTACAGCACCACCACGGACGCGATGAAGTACACTGTCTCACCCGTCGGAAGCAAGTACAGGTTGTTCCGACAGTCTCGACCCCTGTACCCGTAGCTTAGTGCGTGTCAAGACAAAACATTTTCTTTAAGAGCTGACAAGACAACAGCCTTGTCCAACAGGCACAGGCGACACACGTCGATCCAACTGTGACCATGAGCTGCAGGAATTCAAGTACTATCAAACCACAAAAGGGGTCGAATACATCTGACCCCTAACAGGCATGCGACAATGTTGGAAACAAGCACTGATTAACCATGAATGCGTACTTTTAACAACCTCGAGATGGGGCTTTATCTTTATAGTATGTGTTATATTTTGAAAAAGATGGACTCTTCAGCTTCTTTGAAAATGCTAATTATTTTATGGACTAAATGTCACTGGATCAGACATTTGTGAAGTTATTGGAAGGTGTTCAGCTGACACCAAAGGTGACCCATCGGTCACAGACCTGGGAGGCCACAGCCAGGGCCAGAGGTGTTAGCTGAGCTCTTTGGGTTTTACACGGGTGCTGGTCCTGCTCACATCTAGCCTGCCATTGCAGCCTCCCCAGGCTAATCTTCTGAAAGGCTGACTACCATGGTAACACTGTGCTAAACAGGACCAGGAGTGCTGGTGGCATAGTGGATAAGGCACTTGACTGCTACCCGGAAGGTCAGCGGTTCAAACCCTCTAGCTGCTCCGTGGAAGGAAGATGGGATTGATCTACTGCCATAAAGATTTATAGCCTCGGAAACCCAATGCAGGTCACTATGCGTCGGAAACGACCTGATGGCAGTGTGTATGGTTTTGTTTAAACAGAACCATCTTCACCCGTGGGAGCTCTGGTGGCATAGTGCCTAAGGCATTTGACTGCTAACCAGAAGGCTGGCAGTTCAAACCCACCAGCCACTCCTCAGAAGGAAGGTTG